ATCTGCCTCTTCCCCCGTCCATCCGCCTGTCCCCCCGTCCATCCGCCTCTTTCTCCGTCCATCCGCCTGTCTCCCTCGTCCATCCGCCTGTCCCCCACCCCGTCCGTCCGTCCGTATCCGCATTTTTTCAATTTTTCTGTAATTTACATTTTCGGCCGTTTCGTTTCGGTCGTTTCGTTTCGGTTGTTTCGTTTCGGTGGTTTCGTTTCGGTGGTTTCGTTTCGGTTGTTTCGTTTCGTTTCGGTCGTTTCGGTGGTTTCGATGGTTTCGGCCGTTTCGTTTCGGTCGTTTCGTTTCGACGTTTCGCCTTTTAGTACATGCCCCATAAGGTTTGTCTTCAGCATGCATTCGTTTATGTCTTGCTAAGTGGCTCGTTTGTGAAAATCTCTTGTTGCAAACGTCACATTGGTAAGATTTGTCTCCAGTGTGTGTTTTCTTATGTCTACTTAAGGTGCTTGATTGCGAAAAGCGTTTGTTGCAAACATCACATTCATAAGGTCTGTCTCCAGTATGTGTTCTTTTGTGTACAGTTAAGGCACCTGACCCTGAAAATCGTTTGTTGCAAACATCACACTCATAAGCTTTTTCTCCAGTGTGTGTTCTCTTATGAACCACTAAGGCACCTGAATGCGAAAATCTTTTGTTGCAAACATCACATTCATAAGGTTTCTCTCCAGTATGTGTTCTCTTATGTTCAGTTAAGTGACCTGCCTGCAAATATTGTTTGTTGCAAACATCACATTCATAAGGTTTGTCTCCAGTATGTGTTCTCTTATGTGTAGCTAAGTGGCTCGATCGTGAAAATCTTTTGTTGCAAACATCACATTCATAAGGTCTGTCTCCAGTGTGTGTTCTCTTATGTCTAGCTAAGTGGCTCGATTGTGAAAATCTTTTGTTGCAAACATCACATTCATAAGGTTTGTCTCCAGTGTGTGTTCGTTTGTGTGCCACCAAATTTCCTTTCGTAGAAAATACCTTGTGACAAACTTCGCACTTCCTAAACATTCCCTCGAGTCCTGCTTTATTGAACTTTATAATTTTTGATCTTAATTAAAAACGAGAATATTGACAATATTCAGAGACGAACAACACCAATATGAAAATATGGCGTCCAAAAAGAATTCATAATCATATCGTGTTTCCACTTTACAAAAACAAATGTTTGATTATGGCGAGATTTCGCAACAGATAAAAATCGTAAAATAATTGCAAACATGAACGTAAAAATAAAATTAGCTCACCCTCATGGGATAGGATGGAGTCTTTTGAACAGAGTAAACTGATCCGTCTTTTTCGAATCGAATTTATTTTTGCTCTGTATTTTTGCCAAAACAGTCAGGGGCGTAGGAACACATTTGAGATTGGGGGGGCCGAATTCCTCGAGGCGCCACCATGGTTGGCGCCGAGCGGAAATTTTTTTAAAAATTAGAGGCTCTAGATCCTTGGAAATGGCCATTTCAGAGCCTTATTTAGCCATTTCAGTTTCGAATTTCACTGCATTTATTGTAAATTGAGTAAATTCAATGATTTTTGGGGGGGCCGAAAGCTATCTCGGCCCCCCCTTATAAATTTTTGGGGGGGCCGCGGCCCCCCCCCCCGCTTCCTACGCCCCTGAAAACAGTGAATGTTTCATGTTTTATATTTCACTTATTATAATGTGGAAGACATGTTTGCGCTAGATGGTAATTCTTATTTAACAAAATGGCTGATGGCAGCCCGCATGCGGGTTTTCGGCCCGTTTTTGGGACCCGGGAAGCGGGCTTTTGAAGACCTTTAATCCTTTTACATGTTTTTAAACACGTTTTTTTAAACGCCTTTGTAGGAGTGATATTTATCATTTTTTTACTTGGAAAGAACGCAACAACAGGATAGGCTCACGAAAATTGTGAGTAACTGATTTATCATTTATAATTTTTGTGAACTTTTCTAAATATCAAGTATAAATTGTAAAGTATTTTGACTTTTCTTGTAGTTGACTTCTTCGTCTTTGTGTCGTGGTTTCACACATCGATATATAACCATAAAAAGCAAGTGTGGCCAAGTTCCTTTTTTGTTAAAGTCCGAATAAAGTAGCACTTCGAAACGAGAGTGCGGAACAGTCAAAATTTGAGTCAACTAAAGTGGTCTTGCAAGCTTGTAAAAATCGGGGAGAAACCGTTTTAGCAACAAACAATTAGCTTTCAAGGACAACGAACACGGCAAATAAACAGCGACAGACCATCCTTCGAATGATCCTGAAGAGCAAGAGTTGTTAAAAGTCTAAGAAAGGTTAGAAATCCATACTTTGTGCATATATTTAACAGATATAAAACATTTTCCGTGTTGATATACAGTTTTTATATCAACACGAGTCGAAACTAGTAGCAATTATATATAGAATGTAGCAAAAATAGCTCATTTTCAAATCGCCTGGTTTTATGGAGTAACTTCATGTTTTAAAGTCATATCACTATAAAGAGGAAACATTCCTGAATTCACTGATGTGATTTTATTTTAGTTTCCTTGTGAAAAAGTATAATTTACTCATTCGATCCATTTTTATAATGTCAGTGTTCCCTGACCCCGAAACATGCATAAATACAATGGGAATTTACTGTAACTAAAATGCGATATATATACAAAAATTATTCAAAAATTCTCTTATTATTGACAGAAGTTACTAAACAAAAAAGTTTTCGTAACATAGATCTTCACAGCAAAATTCGCGATACTGTATATTTCAACAGTTTTTAATCGGCCCTCGTTTCTCCTCTGGAAAACCACCGTGGAACGCATAAAAAAATGGTATACAGTAGTTGATTTCTTTCATCATTTTCATGTTGTTTTATTTTACTCTTGAGAGCAAAGTGTTCTGTCGCTAGCTCGCGTCATATTTTAGAACTTCCATTTAATTGTGACGAGAGTGCCAGGACACTTACTATAATAATATATAGGCGTAGACAGTGCCACGTTTGGAAGTGAGGCACATTTCATGTTTTGTGCGGCCAGAAATGGGATGGAATTAAGGCTCGAATTTTCATGTCTGGTACACTGTGATTGCCACTGTTAAAATGTCTGGCACTACAGGTTGGTTGGCAGCCAGCCAATGACTGCATGCCGATGCTCACCAAACCTTGTCCTCAAAAGTCTTCCAGTTCCCCTAATATGAAGCATGCAACATTTAAGTACTGCATGATAAGCGGGAAATGAGTTAGAAGGAAGTGCCTGTGAAATGGTGCTTGATGGTACTTTCATTTAGGTGCCGGAAAGGGTGGCAAGGGTGGGTTGACTACAAAATTTTTGTAGTTCGCTATAACTGCAGCTACTTCAAAAATATGTAGTCAGCTACAACTACTGCTACGTTTGAACAAAGATATAGTTCGCTATACTGACTTCAGCTACTGCTTAAAAAATGTAGCGAACTATTTCGCTATTTCGCCATGGGTGTACGGGAAGGAAAAAATTAGGGGGGCGGAAAGAAATTTGCCAAAAAATTTTTTTCCGAACAATTAATTTTGTCAACCCCCCCCGTTGCCAAAAAAAATTCGGTCAGTGTACCATTTTAGGGGTCCAAAAAATTTTCGGACATACCAAAATTTTTCGGAACATCTAACAAATTTTCCCAAACATCACAAAATTCACATAATTTCCCGCAAAATTGACAGAATTTGTTCCATTTATTTTTATAATAACCCTATATTGCCCGACTGTGAAGTGAATATTGTCCAACTGGCTTTGTTTGCCCAACAAACTGGGTTATTATTATTGCTTTGACTACTTTTTGCCCGACTTTTGCTTGACTTTTCGACTTTGTAATCTTTTGGGGGGGGGGGGCAGCTGCCCCCCCTGTCCCCCCTGTCCCGTACGCCTATGTATTTCGCTACACTATATTTTTTAGTTTTACTATATTTGGAGCATCAACTAACTCAGGCTGTAATGTAATCTATAACTAATCGACTTATGAGTAGCAACAGTAAACACAAAGCAACATTTTTATAAGCACTACAGTGTTCAGGAGTGCAAATTGACTATTGAGTATTGATTTTAAGCAAACCGTGTCTCAATATCATGCTATGCTATCAAGTTGCTAACAATTTTAAAAAGTAGCGAATAGCGATTTGCTGTTTCAAAAGTAGTCAACTACTTGGCTACTTTTAGGCAAAATGTAGTTCGCTATAACTACAGCTACTGTTTTAAAAAAGTAGTCAGAGACTACTGGCTACTTGAAAATTGTAGTTTGCTACAGTAGTGAACTACAACAGTCTACTTCGCTACAACCCACCCTTGAGTAGAGGAATCTATGATCTCGAAGGTTTTACATTGAGGCACCCAAGAAAGGAACGCGCCATTATCTGACGACGATTCCTGTGGTAGGGAGCTACACAATGGCGTCCCTCGGATATTTTTGCTGTGTCGAAAAGAGACTAGCTAGGTTATCACAGAAAATGGAAGATATTTGAGGGTCGTTTTTCAAGACATGAAAATTCTTCCTAATGACATCTCTCAAAATTAAAAGTTTAGGGCACATGGTCCCGCGGAATTTTTTCTATCTTTAGGGTCTGCCAAACGCTATTTCGTGCATTTGAGACACGTTTTATGATAATCTGAAAGCCACAGATTTGGTATATTTGATATCGTAGATGAAAACATTACCTCCCCCCGAGTTTCTCCTCAGCTTTGAAAGATTACAAAATTAAGGTTGAAAAAGTGTGTGTGGGGAAGGGGGGAGTGGGTGCGAATCCCCATTTCTCCCGTGGCTACGCCCCTGCACGCGAAAATCCTAAATTTGGGTTACTGTAGTTTCCCGACACATCCTGTTCAGTATGCCACCTCTTCTGCATGAGATACGGAGAGGAAATGGGATGGAAGGAAGCGCAAGTAAAATGATGCTTGATGTGGTAGTATGGTGGTACTATTGTAAACACCTCCTCAGGAGCATGGCTCAAGTTACAAATACAATGGTGTCGGGGCGTTTTGAGATAAGCTGCTCTACATTCGTTCTGATATATCTCTCGTACAAATGACTTCTCTTGGTCGAACTAAAGTATAACTTGTCTCGTCTTCTCCATTATGCTGTCCTTGCAATAAGTGCAACTTGTATTTACCATCTTTGCAAAAATTATGTTGTAACTTTACACAATTTGAAGGCGTAGCGCCCCTCTCCCTCTCCTCCCATTTCAATGAAAGTCTGGTTGCAAACCTCCAAAATTGAAACAAGGGGAGGGGGGTGGATAAATGTATCAACAAATGGTAAGATTTATCTCATTGCATGTAAAAATTAGCTAGATCGATTGTCCCAATGTACATGAATTGTCAATGATTGTAGGCGTTTGGGTATAAGCGTTTTAGGCCAGGTGCCGGGCTGCAGCCCCACAGAAAAAATGAGATTGGGTAAATTATAAAGTAATGTAAGTTGGGAAAAAAGATGGGGGAAGTAAATTTAGAAGCAAGCAATATGTAAGAAAATATTTCCAACACCGCCCCCCCCCCCAGGTCAACAAGAATTTTGTAATTTTTACATGGAAAATTTCTTTATAAGGCAGGCAAAAACAGTCGAATGTTGCCAGCCGTGACTGAAATATTGGGATTTGAAATATAGTTGATATTCAGTACAAGTTATAGCCATCGTAATAGAACCTATGATGCAATAGACGCCCTTACTCAACTCTTACTGTCATTTCAATTGAAGTGTTCCTCAAATATTGATTAAATACATTACCTCGGGCTGACCAATTCATTTCATCAAGTTCCTCGAGATATTCATACACTTCATGTGAAAGAGCCAATACCAAGAATTTGATCATTTCTAGTCACATCCTTTCTATTTATGTTTGGTTAGTTGCACAAACAACAAAGGTGATTGGCAAGGGTGGGTTGACTACAAAATTTTTGTAGTTCGCTATAACTACAGCTACTTCAAAAATATGTAGTCAGCTACAACTACTGCTATACTTTTGAACAAAGGTAGTTCGCGACTGACTACAGCTACTGCTTAAAAATTGTAGCGAACTATTTCGCTATTTCGCTACACTATATTTTTTAGTTTTACTATATTTGGAGCGTCTACTAACTCAGGCAGTAATGTAATCTATAACAAATCGACTTACGAGTCGCAACAGTAAACACAAAGCAACATTTTTGTAAGCACTACAGCACAGGAGTGCAATTGAGTACTGATTTTAAACACACCGTGTCTCAATATCATGTTATTCTATCAAGTTGCTAACAATTTTAAAAAGTAGCAAATAGCGATTTGCTGTTTGAAAAGTAGTCAACTACTTGGCTACTTCTAGGCAAAATGTAATGTAGTTCGCTATAACTACAACTACTGTTTTAAAAAAGTAGCCAAAAACTACTGGCTACTTGAAAATTGTAGTTCGCTACAGTAGCGAACTACAACTACTTCGCTACAACCCACCCTTGGTGATTGGTGCATTCAAACTATTCAACAGGAAGTTTACAATTATACTAGGAAGTGTATGAATATCTCGAGGAACTTGATGAAATGAATTGGTCAGCCCGAGGTAATGTATTGAATCAATATTTGAGGAACACTTCAATTGGAATGACAGTAAGAAGTTCCACCTCCACGTCTACAGAAAAATTAAAATGTTCAAAACATGTACAGATTTTGAAACACAATATATTGCAGTCAATTCAAACAAATATATTTACAAGTTTAAGACATGCGCTATTGCTACAAATTCTATACAATATATGCTATCAATTAGGCATGCAAACGGATTAACTATATATTCTGTTCATTGTAAGATTTATAGTATATCGTTTATTATCATAAAGCACACTGGATTTTGGCCTTCAAATGTCCCATTGTGATGCTAAATGTCTTTAACTTGGCGTACTCCCAAGCTTCTAATAATCTATTTGGCTATATTTACTACTTGCTATATCATTTTCAATACCCTTCTAGATATGCGCGCTCTATAGATGCGAGTATAACCACTTGTAGCGGGCGACAATTTTCAATAAAAATATAATACGAAACAAAGTCTGAAAAAAGAACCATTCTAGTTCATGATATGGATTAAAATATGATCTTACACAGGACATCAGACTGTAACGCCCATCTCACACACAAAAGCTCACTCACATTCAAGAGAGTGTGAGGTTCAATCTGAGCTTCTCTTGAGTGCCAATGTTGTTTTTGAATAGCTGGAGGGTGAGTAGTCGCATAGCAAGGTATGACACTGGCCCTCTATCTATTCAAAAACAGCATTGACACTCGAGGGAAGCTCAGATTGAACCTCTACTCATTGAATGTGAGTGAGCTTTAAGAGTAGGTTGTTTGAAAGACGTCGAGTGCCAGAGATTTGAGACAAATAGAGGTTAAACCAGACAGGGCGTCCCTTTTGAAAGCCAAAAATCTGAATTAAGCAGTGTTCGATACAGAAATCTCATCCTTGATAAAAATATGAAAATAATTAGCAGTCACTCAAACGGCTATCAATATTTTGTTCTTAGAAAGCATAGAAAAGCCTGAGGACATTTTGTTAAGCCGGTAAAATTAGCTGGAGTATCTCTGGTCAATATCGATACCCTTCAGACTTTGTGGTTATACTCACTCTCTGAGCAAAGCTACAATAAGATTGTCAACTTTTAAAGCCCAAGCTCTAGAATGTTCGAGTATTTTAAAGGTTTCATCACCAACATTCTGACCAACATTCTTCCACAACCTAGTTCGTGGACTGTCAACATTCTTCTTGCAGTTTCTTGTGGAATTTTCTAGTGTTTTGATACCAATTTGTTGTTATTCAACATCGCAATTGTACCATATTCGTATGCACATGCATGTTCATAGTTATCATATAGGAATGATTGTTCAAATATAAGCCAATTGTCCCGAATATTTTGCTTTCAATGCCATAAGAGATTGAATTTTAAATTTGCACACAGGTTCGTTATTACCACAACGTTCTTTCGTCAAGTTCAAGGTTGCAGGAAAGACAATGCGTCACACGCGAACAATAATAGGTCCATTTTCAGTATTTCTCAACAGCTAAAAATTATTCAGTTACTACGAAGTATGTTTCTCACATACTATCATACGCTATAGATCAGATATTATACACTTGTATAGGATCCGGATGTTTGTTTTCCATACATACAGCAAGTATTTTTGAACGACATCTAAATGTACGTTTTATTGACCCATTATACTCGTAGTAGGTTTTCAGATTAGTCCAACAAACACGACAGTTATTCACTTTTTGTCTGTTTAATTCTTCAACATCTGACTGGAACATACAGAATTTTGTTTGGATTTGATATCATAACAGACGCTTCCAGTAGTTATTGAACGAGCATGAGTCAGGATATGTTCTGTTGGAAATTGTTAATTGGAGGTCCACAATTCTTGAAGGTGTGCAGATTTTGCGGATTGTAAGCGGACAATGTCCCATTACCTCGTAGATTTGTTGTTGTAATTCATTGTTGTATTCAAGAAATTCAGTGAATCACAAGCTGGAATAGTGTTCAGCTTTGCAAGTTCAAATGCATTCTGTTTTCATAAGGAACGCAGTCTGTTTTCATTAATGTGGTATTCATAGTTCATATCGTTAAATGTTGTAGATATAAGGACGTAAGACGTATTTCCTTGTAATATGTTTGTACCAGTTGCACGTAATCTTTCGTGAGTACAGGATCAGCAACTGAATAAGTTTTTTTTCTAATTAAAATACACGCGTTGTATTTACATCCGCACAAGGCAGGAGCACAAAGTTGACGTATTGTTTTCGCAATGTCGCTCGTTTCAATCTGGTTTCCTCTCATCAATGTTCAACCAGGTTGCAGAATGTTGGTCACAGTTTAATGTTGTTTTTCACAATTAGAGATATAAATACTGGACTGTGTCACACATAAATATGCTTACTCTGTTACAAGTTCAAGTACATCCGGTTTCCAACTCTCAATAAAAGTCCATGCAAACTTGTGCGAAAACTTAACGACAGAAGGAAAATAAGCATTTTTTGGATATAATTTTGTTTCATTTATTCTTAAAAACAAATCGTGTCTATTTCATTGGAGTTCCTATATTATTAGCAGTAGGCCTATAGAGCGTTTTTAAATATCGTCTCCAAGAACATCTCGTGGAGATAATCTTGAGAAAAACGTTATCAAAATCCCTTAGTTTGTAGAGGTCTTTGATCTGCTGCATGGAAATCAAATGGCTGCGATAACATAAAATCTGAAACAAGATTTGATAAAAAATTACGTTGCCCCTTTGTAGCCAAGTTTGCATAAACTATCTTGAGGTTGTTGTAATAAGAACACCAGTTATTGTTACAACGCCATTATTATAGTGTCAGATATGAAAATTTCTTAGGATACAAAATGTTGAAGAGGAAAAATAGCTTACGCTGCTGCAATTTGCTTTTAGTGCATACATGAATCAAATATACATGCAGATCCAGAGCCAATTTCAAACACAGATGAATGGGTTTTTTTGTCGCCGAACTTTTCATGCAGCATTAAATAGAATTTTTTTGAAAGCTACAAATGTGCACCAAACCTTCCTGCGCTGACGTTTTGATAAGTTTTAGCCACCAAATATTCTGTTACATATCGTCAACAATCATAAATACATAACACGATACAAAATAAGAATCGCATAGAATATTATCACAACCATTAATTAAGTGAGAGAAAACCAGAGTATTTAAGCTACGGATAGACGTGCAATATTTTTCTGGTGACGCGCGAGAGGGAAATTGCTTGTGTATCATGCTCTGCGACGGCAACGTAAAGCTTCGCACAATCATTGCCGAAATTTCAAATGATTTGATTTTTGGCAAAAATTGGGAGGTATGGTCAGGGAAGGTCAAGGTTGATGATTGACACGTTTCTTGACCTGCCAATGAAATGCGTTAGGAAGACGTATATTGCAGGTGAAATATAGCCGGTGTAGCCACCTTGTGCGACGGCAACGCAATACTGTTATCAACATTACGTAACCATCGCAGCAAAAATATTGCTCGTGTATCCGAAGCTTTACGGCATGGGCTATGTGTAGTTTCAAAAGAGAAATGTTATATCTTTTAACAATTTATTGTCTTTTGACCAGATTAATCCTTGCTCAAACAGTAATTGAAATGCGTTGAAATTTTGAAGGAAAACTATTTTCATATTATTTGAAGGAAAGTGATAAACTGTTATAAAAGCTCAGTATGGTTCATACTGCCTAAAGAAAGACCATGACATATTTGCAATTTGGAGAAATATTTGCAATTTATTCTATATTTCCATAGTAATTTACACATCAAGTTCGAAAATGGCGTTCACTGTGAACAATAGATTGTCTAACGCGATTTTGTAAACCGCCAAGGCTGAGAATAGGGTAAGTCGTTTAAAACTTGTCGACGTCGCTAGTTGTAAAATCAAGTACGTCGAGATATCCAGTGTAATTTTGGCTTGCTTTGAATTAGGTCTATCCTGTTTTTTTAATTTATTCCTGTTGCGGAATTTTTATATCCAGGCAAATATACAAATGTAGTAAAAATAAACCTCTGTACAAATATAGAAAAAGCAGGATATGTGGTAACTAACACTAAATTCTACGGCATACTTTGTTTTGCAACCAGCAATTTCAGCAAGTTTTAAACGATCTGCCTTATTCCCAGATGATGCGATTTACAAAGTCGCGTTGTACAATTTACCTTTTACCTTTGGAGCAATATTGCAAAGTGATATGCAAATTAATAAGGAAGTATGACAAATTTTGTCCGTAATTTCTTGTAATCAAACGTTGGGCAATCTCATGAATGTCAGTGTGAAAATATTTTGAAGCCCGTTTGGGGAAACTTAATCTTTTGTTTCCACGCCGGCTACACGACTAACATTTCTCCAAATAACTCAAACTTCAAATTTCAGTTTATCAAATCCAGGTAATAGTTTTATTCTTCTTTTTGGTGACCATTGCAGACAACACACTATAGTGAAAGCTCTAGCAGAAATTTCTTTGTTGTTAATTTATTATTGCTATATTTTCCAAATAACCTAAAAATCGAGAAGAACTACTTAGTGAAGTTTAAGTATAAAAGTACGTTAGTTCTGCTCTCTTGTTTCGTTGTTTATTGTGTTGATATTGCGCAGTGTCAATTTGCTTTACCTTGCAAATTTTGCTAGCTTCAAAACATCAGTTTTGGAAAGACGTCAATTTCACGTCAAAATTTCCTGTTTCACTTGACATTTAATTTACCTTAATACTTCTTGTTCATGGCAAATTTAACATCATCTCTTGTCTTGTCCCAGCCATGAGTGGTTACAGCCTTGTAGACTTCCATCACAAGGTCAGGAAAATCATCAAAAAACACAAAGGCCTTAAACAGCATCTCTTCGATTCGTACTGGTGTGCCAAACGTTTTTTCTTTGAAATGTTTATATACATTTCGTATAAATCGTACCAAATCCACGGCTGACCAGATGGCATAATCCTTTCTGCCTGTTCCTGTCATTATCTTTCTGTGAATGACATGCGTGTTTCCATACGATGAAGTGTTCCAGTTTCCTTTGAACTTGATACCATTCTCTAAATCTGTCTCGATTGGGGTCAAAGGTACAGTCCTCGTTCGCGAAGGTCGGGTCCGAGGTAGGATTTTCTTTGAACGAGGACACTGAAATTCTTTCTGATTACCAACAGCTTTTAGGAATTCCACCTTTTCTTTTTTCGACCAAAATAAAGGATGCTCTAGTGCTTTTTCTGCACTTGGTCGATCCTTTTCATTCCTTTCAAGCATCTTTTTAACCAGGTGAGTGGTTTCAGGAGGAAGAGACTCGTCCCATCCTTCCATTGTACCTTTCATTATGTTACCTTCTGTTTCAGTGCAAACTTGTAGTGCATTTTTACTAGCATAATCAGCGGGATAAAATGGATGCTTCTGTCCTGAAAAAATGTAATGAACAAGTAGGCCACACGAAAACATATCTGACGCGCGTGCAAAATGATCCTTGTTGACACTGTCGGGCTTGGACGTCAAAACTTCGGGAGAAATCCAACATCTTGTACCAGCACCCGTACGATACACTGTGGTTGACACACTATCAATAATATGGCTTAGACCAAAGTCGGCAATTTTCAAGCACGTTTTCGGATGTACTTTATAAAGAATATTAGCAGGCTTTAGGTCGCGATGGAGGATGTTTTGTCGATGCAAAAATTCAAGCCCCATGACTATATGTTTACAAAGGTCAGTTGCTTGATTGACATCAATTTTCGAACCATCGAGATACTCGTCGAGATTTCCCTCCATCAACTCTAAGACTATGTAGGAGAAGTGTTCATCTTCAAGGAAAGATATATAACGAACAACTTGTTCACAGTCAGCAAGAGCGGTGAGATTTTTTATTTCTCGTTTGTCTTTCCGTCGCTTCATACCCAATTTTTCTATGCGTTTTAAAGCCACTTCTCTGCCATCATTTTGGTTGATTCCAGCAAAAATAACACCAAATGCGCCACGTGCTATGTAATCTTTGCAGTACCAAATTTGATCAACCATTTCACACTCTTGTCGCCTGGCAACTTTGGCAAGTATTCTTTTACTTTTGTGAGAAACGGAGGTCCAGGGAATAAGAATGGAAATAGTATCGACTTCTATTGGTTTTGTTAGGAGGTCTTTAAGAGAGGGGCAATCTTGCGCAATGTCGAGGCAAGACATCCCAGACGAGTCCTGAATGTGAATATCCGCTCCGTGCGAAAGCAACTGTTTAGCAATTTTACAGTGAACAGAATCATAGCTTACACGTTCTTCATTTGGTTCTTCTTTTTCTCCCTGTGCTTTTACTGAATCATCCTTCCTTCTTTTCTTTGGAGGTGATTGTCCATCATCATCGGATGGTTCGTCGTTTGCTTTTTGCTGAGTAGAATCTGCCTTCTCATCAAACATACCAAGTTGAACAATGTTCCTACAGCAAAAACGAAGAGGTGAATCCAAAGAAAGACGGGACGTTATAGCTGAATTTAGAATGACTTCAGCCAAAATGGTCTTCCAATGTGTATGCTTCGATTCGTCCTTAGAAATGACATTTAAAAGCGAAAGCTTTACGTCATTTGTGACGTAGTTTTCCTTGCAGGCAACTTCAATCAGCGCTCTGGTAAGAACAAAAGCCTCTGATTTGATAAGAACACTCAAAAGAGATTCTCCCTGTTTGTCAGCTATCCATGGATCAAGTCCCATTTCCAGGGCACTTTTCCAAAAGGTTTCTGGGTCTTCTATAACATCAGCATAAAAAGAATTTTTTGGTAGAATTTTTCTCGTTTGCTACCACAAGGAGAGGTGAATGTCCCGATGAATCGACGTCGTTTGGGTTTGCTCCAGCGTCTAATAACAACTTTGCAGCGGTCCACGTTCTGCAGGCATGCAAAGGAGTCTGTTCGTTCGCATTTCGAGGATTGAGTTTTGCTCCACATTCTAAGAGATGGTGCAAAATTATTTGCAAGAAGCGCTCAAAAGTGTGCTCTCCAGTCAAAAAGCTTGTGTAATCTTTGGGTGATTTTAACGCAATAGAAGCCCAAAGGTGCAGTGGTGAGTTTAACAGAGTGTCAGTGTTGTTCACGGCGTTTCTAACGGCTTCTTCGTTAGGCGAGAGTAACTTCAGAACGTCGATCATTACCTGACAAACAGCCTTTCTTGAGGCTTCTTCATTTAGTAGGAGACCCTGTTGGATAAGCAAAATTATACGATGAAAAATAGTTTGAACATTTCCTGAGCCGTTGGTGATACTGCTTCCATTCCTTAACAAAAATCTACAGATCTCTACCAATCCTCCGATTGATGACTGCCAATTATTATCTTCAGTTATCACTTTCAATGTAAGTGGTGACAAGCAAAATAGCAGAGGCGATTGACTTCGATGACTTTTTGTATTGAATAACGCCCCAAGTTTCTTTAATTTCTTACATATTTCAATGACGCGCTCTTGCGTTACGCCCAGAAATGGTAGAAGGGACGTATAGTGAAGAGCCGTATTTCCATCTGAATCAACAGCGTTGGGATTGGCACCCAGTTTGTTGAGCAAGGACAAAGTAAGTGGTACATCGATCTCGTTTTCTCTTATCATGGATGCAATTTTGTCAACGTTTTCTGCATTATCATCGTCTTGAATTAAAAATTGCTCTCGCGCGAAGGCCAAAGCTTTTAAAATATTTGTTTTTTTGTTAAAGATAGTGTATGACTTTAGCAAGTGAGGAGAACCACGGACGGACAGGAGAGGAGCTTGACAATAGACAGTGTCGAATATGGCAAGAGTCAGCGCTTCTAATTGGCGCTCTTCGTTAAATAATTTAGACGTAAATAACTGCAATGCTTCTATATTCTCGGAAATACAGTATTCTATGAAGAAGGAAAAGATGCTTAGATGGCAATTGTCTTTTAATTGAAGGTTTCCTCCATTCTTGATAAGATGTAGAGCTTTTGTTGCATCGTCATCCTGAATAGCATAGAACAATGGGGTTCTACCATACGCATCTCTTGCGTTTATCTGAACTTCATCCACTGCTATCATGTCGTCCAAGAATTCTTTATCGCAATAAAAGATAACCGTTTTACCCTCGTTGTCAGTTACGTTTAGGTCCAGGCCGGCGTTGTACAATGGCTGCACTACGTTTTCTATATGCATTTCAGCAGCATGAAACAAAGCAGCTTTTCCATCAATTTCATCTAAGTTAAATTTAGCACGACACCGAATCAACTCGCAAAGTGCATCGACTCTGTCGTTCTGGTTAGCATAAAACACAGCAGTTTTACCCTCGTCATCACTTACGTTGAAATCAAGGCATTTAGAATTTAGTTTACTTATTACAAGAAAACAGTCGTGTTTAGCAGCATGAAACAAAGCAGCTTTTCCATCAATTTCATCTAAGTTAAACCTAGCCGATTGCTCAATCAACTCACAAAGTGCATCCATACTGCGATTCTGGTTAGCATAAAACACAGCAGTTTTACCATCGTCATCAGTTAGGTTAAGGTCGAGGCCTCTAGCATATAATTCTCTTATTACACGAGGACGATCATTTTTAGCAGCATGAAACAAAACAGCTTTTCCATCAATTTCATCTAAGTTTAATTCAGCATCACAGTCAATCAAATCACAAAGAACATCCATATTGTGGTTCTGGTTAGCATAAAACACAGCAGTTCTGCCCTCGTCATCAGTTATGTTGAGGTCAAGACCTTGAGATTTTAAATTGAAAACTACGCCGCCGTGGTCTTTCTTAGCAGCATGAAACAAAGCAGGTTTTCCATCAATTTCATCTAAGTTAAATTCAGCATCACGGTTAATCAAATCACAAAGAACATCCATATTGTAGTTCTGGTTAGCATAAAACACAGCAGTGTTACCCTCGTCACCAGTTAAGTTGAAATCAAGGCCTTCAGAATCTAGTTTACTTATTACACGAAACCGGTCATGTTTAGCAGCATGAAACAAAACAGCTTTTCCATCAATTTCATCCAAGTCAAACCTAGCCGACTGCTCAATCAACTCACAAAGTGCATCGATTCTGTCGTTCTGGTTAGCATAAAACACAGCAGTTTTACCCTCGTCATCAGTTACGTTAAGGTCGAGGCCTTTAGAATATAATTCATTTATTACACGACGACGATCATTTTTAGCGGCATGAAACAAAGCAGCTTTTCCATCAATTTCGTCTAAGTTAAATTTAGCACCACACTGAATCAACTGACAAAGTGCATGGATTCTGTCGTTCTGGTTAGCATAAAACACAGCAGTTTTACCCTCGTCATCAGTTAAGTTGAAATCAAGACCTTTAGAATCTAGTTTACTTATTACACGAAACCGATCATGTTTAGCAGCATGAAACAAAGCAGCTTTTCCATCAATTTCATCCAAGTTAAACCTAGCCGACTGCTCAATCAACTCACAAAGTGCACCCATACTGCCGTTCCGGTGTCCCAGGAAATTTGGCCCCCCCAAAATTTGGCCCCCCCGGGCCAAATTTCCTAGGAAATTTGGCCCCCCTGGGGGCCATATTTCCTAGAAATATGGCCTCCCCTTCGGAAATTTGGCCCCCTCGAAAACATAGTTTACTTTGTCGCTATAAGCTCGGAAATCGTGAAGTTTCTTCTTAAACAAAGATCCTAAAAATGTTTGTCAGTATTTATAGTTAGTTTGCATAATTTATTTGTGTCGAAATTCTTCATTGCGGCCAAGAGCTAAAAGTTTGAAGGAAAGCATAATATGTGTTAGTGCAGTCATGCCAGACGCATCACACATGGGTATCTGTAGAGGACAACGTTAATGCACGATGGCTTAACTATAACTAAGAACACAAAACAATTTTAGAGATAAGAATTTCTAAGATATTACGAGTTATTTAGATCTATAAATTCAGTCACATAGTATAAAATTAGTCAGAATAACAACCGCACTTTAGCAAACGATGACATCATGCGTTGGCGAATATGTTAATATGCACGCGTCTAATAAATAACAGGGAGTAATTAGCGGTAAAAGTAGACTTTTAAGTGAAAACGTTTGTTCGAAAAACAGAATCAAATGAGTGGTTACTTCGTATAAAAACATTTTCCTATGGGTTTTTTTCTTTCATATACACAGTATATATAATTGCTCGTATGGTTGGGATGCATTACAGAAGCATTCTGTATGCTTCATCGCTCACAAAAATATTCCGCACACACAAAAGCACAAAAGTTTAAATGACGTTCCGTTTCAATAGCTTAATGATACAGCCATTATTTAGGAGCTGTTCATATGTCCCACTTACCGAGAGGTCTTGCCTACCGAGACGAATATTTTCGTACGTTCATATGGAATATTTCGTCCCCCTTGCCGAGATGAAATTACTGTAGCCGTTCCATAATTAGCGTATGCTACATTTCAGTCAAGCAACACAAATACTTGCGATTTTAGTGTTTTTCTTCGTTTGTTTACAAGAAAAAGTATTGCTTTAGGTATATGTTAACGTTGTTATTATGTTGTTCACATGCCTTATTAACGTTGTCTTCTATGAAGCTGGTCAAAACCAAACGCGAAAAGTACGCTAAACTTTAGCTCTTGGCCTAGATTCTCGTCAGTATTGCAATTCAATAGAGAATTTTGACACAAAAAATTACGCAAACTGACTATAAATGTTGAGAAAAATTTCTAGAAATTTGTTTTAGTAGAGGCCTCACGATTTCCGAGCCTAAAGATCTGAAACAAACTATATTTTTTAAGGGGGGGGCCAAATTTCCGAAGAGGGGGCCATATTTCCTAGGAAATATGGCCCGGGGGGGCCAAATTTCCTAGGAAATTTGGCCCGGGGGGGCCAAATTTTCGGAGGGGGCCAAATTTCCTGTGACACCGGTTAGCATAAAAAACAGCAGTTTTACCCTCGTCGTTAGTTAGGTTGAGGTCAAGGCCTTGAGATTTTAAATCAGAAACTATGCCGGCGTGGCCTATCCTTGCAGCATAAAACAAAGCAGCTTTTCCATCAATTTCATCTAAGTTAAATTTAGCACCACAGTTAATCAAGCGACAGAGAGAAACCATATTGTGGTTCTGGTTTGCATAAAACATAGCAGTTTTTCCCTCGTCATCAGTTATGTTGAGGTCAAGGCCTTGAGATTTTAATTTGAAAACTACGCCGCCTTGGTTTTTCTTAGCAGCATAAAACAAAGCAGCTTTTCCATCAATTTCTTCCAAGTTAAACCTAGCCGATCGCTCAATCAACTCACACAGTACACCCATACTGCCGTTCCGGTTAGCATAAAAAACAGCAGTTTTACCCTCGTCGTCAGTTATGTTGTGGTCAAAGCCTCGATGTTTTAATAGGAAAAGTACGCCGGCGTAGTCTTCCTTAGCAGCATGAAACAAAGCAGCTTTTCCATCAATTTCATCCAGGTCAAAGTCAGCATAACACTCAATCAAGGCACAAAGGGCATGCAAACTGCGGTTCCGGTTCGCATAAAACACAGCAGTTTTGCCCTCGTTATCAGTTGTGTCAAGGTCAAGGCCTTTTGAATGTAGCCGCTTTACTACATCAGGAAGGTCTTCCCTTGCAGCATGGAACAAAGCAGCGCTTCCATCAATTTCATCCACGTTAAAATCCTCTTCATTAAGAATCAACCTACAATCTTCAGCCATGGTTTGAAATTTGCAAGGGAAGTGGGGAACTTTTGACACAAGTTTAATTTAGTTTGGAATAAAACACGTTTTCGGCATCAGTGTTTGATTCCTTTTGAGTTGACTATTCTTTATGATTGTCTTGATCTTTTCCCATTCCAGTTATTTCGGGGACAAGTTCTTTTGTTTGTTTTCAACAATTATATTTCAAAAAAGTTGGAGGAAAAGTTGCCGAGTGGTCTTGAGAATTAACTATGGATTGAAGTGCTAATTTCCAATCTAGAAGTAAATTAAAATAAAAATCTACATTTTTTATTGAATAGAGCCATTGGTCATCCTGAATACAAGGACATTAATGCGAAGTCTTTTGGCTATGTCACTGGCCTGAAAAATAACTCTTTTAACGCGATCAAGGTATTTAAAACAAAAGTAACGCGAAGCCAACGTAACGGCAAAGACAACGCTAAGATGAAATATTGTTGGTTGGTTGCTGGTAGAACACTTACGACAGGATCAATCTTAAATAACCTTAAACTATAAGAATAAATGGTCACATCAAAGACAAAGATCAGTCCCAAAGTATAAAATATGCTCTGTAAACTTAGGACGAAGTGTACATGAGCTGTTTATTTAGTGATTTCAACGTATATGGAAGAAGCCCTCTTTCAGTTCTTTCCAATAATATTCGCTTATCGCACAGCATAACACCAACTGATGTAATAGTTCAAATGCAATGACAAGTTATCTCTTGAATTTCGTCTCGGAAACTGTGTTGGAAATTTAAATGCTGATCCATTACATATAGATTACCGTTTTACATTTTTGTATAAACATTTTGATCGCATGTAAGGAATTATTTCTCAGCCCAGAGACATAGCCCAAAGACTTAACATTAACGTCCATGTGATTTTATAGAGATAGATCCAGAACTAAGGATATTAGAAGGAATTATCTGTACCTTCTCAAAGTTGTAGAAAAGATATGTTGTTTACGTCCAACACGCATAAAATTACATAACTCAAAATGGTTCGAGCAAAACCGGTCTTTTGTTAAAAGGAAGACGGGTTGATAGAAATTGGTCCTTCTGAGTTGCATAATCATGTATCGTCATCGATCCGTGTCGTTGAACAATGAAAAAATTTGCTGTGAAATTAGTGAAGACAAAATAGCATTTTGTGAGAAAACTGCGGGTCTACGGAGTGGGAACTTTTCGGATTTGAACTCAGCGTGTTCGAAAGTGTTAGTTCCCGTAAAATTATTTCAGGTCTAAGACATGCTTAATGGCAATCGTTTTCTATACGCACTTTTCGAGGTCACAACACACGGATTAAAAAGCGTACCAGTACGATATTATACTATTGTATTATTATATTTATTGTTACTTTATAGTCTTTATACATAGAGGATATTAGACGGTTGCGAAGAGATATGGATTTTATGTTCGAGTGGCAAAAACAATATCTCACGAGTGAGCGCAGCGAACGAGTGAGATATTGTTTTTGACACGAGAACATAAATCCATATCTTCTCGTAACCGTTTAATGTTCTGTTTATTATATGGACTTATTCAGAGTGACAAAAATACACACAAAGACGACATGTAAATAAGCACGCGAAAGACCAGTGTAAAAGCGATTTTTTTAAATTATAGTGCAAACATAAAACTAGAATAAATTTTACTTATCTCAAGATGTCTTTTAAATGTTTTCGTTTTATTTCCAACGTTAATTTCGTTTTAAATACGAACCAAAGACCATTTGTATTTTTAAAACAACAGTGAAAATGGCGGGAAATTTTCAGAACTTCGTATGTCACTAGCAGGGGTGAAATACGGAAAATACGCGCACCTGGCCCCGGATGTGTGACGTATGAGTTCTACGAGTGTTTTAGTTTCCAGTAAAACACCATTGTCCATATAATAAAACGAGTTACACAATCCTATTTTAAATACAACTATGGCTTTTGGCAGTTTTGTATATGTGTTTCTTAAAAGCCCAATTTTCTTACCGTTCCCCAACGTGTAAAACGCGAAAAAACTTTATTAATAATAACAAAAATTTGTAATAGTAAACAGTGTATTTTATTATAAAGGATTTTCTTTTTCTACTGCTCCGTACTCCGTGTGCTCCGTGCTCCGTGTTTTACTAATAGCCAAATATAAATGCTTTCATGTATATCACCAGAAAGAAATAAAGCTATAAGCACCGGAATTATTCAAAATAGTCTAGGACCTGTATAGATGTTTGTATGCGTTTCATTTAGCACCGGTAATCTCAACTGTTTTAGGGTAAAATGACCATGACGGTCAACATGGCATATGTGCCAAAACCTGAATCCGGGGCGAAAGTCCTGAAAATGACCCCGCCCTGAAACGGCAGTGCCGACATAGCTCCAACTTCAGAAAACAAAAAGCGACGGCCTTTCTGAAGTGCTTATAGTGTTTAGAAGGGTTGCTTTTAGGGGTGGTTAATGGAAGCAAAAATTTGTCTAAGTATAATATTTTACAAGAAAATTACTGTAGGACTCAAACAATTAACATACCACTGTATAGGAGATTAGTTGGACAATTAGCAATTACTTAATATATTCATATTTTGAATATAAAACCGGTTGAAAGTATACGGCGAGGGCATATCTATAGCCAACATCAAACAGTCTAAACGAAATGATTTTAATTCTACCCAAATGATGTTAGCAAAGGATAAGTGAACTCTAATAAGATCTACAATTCTACATGAATATTGCTATCGATCGCCCAGTTGGGGAATTATCTGTTTATTTATTTTACTAAATTATTGTAGACTAGGTAGTTTATTTGTTTTTGTTTCACTTATATGTAGTTGAACCGTATTAAATCGTATTATTCACGCGTTCGAAAGTCTTGATTCGGCGATCGAGGAGTAACATAGTTCAAAGATATCTCGACTCAAGAATCTACTCGAAAGAATTGAACGCTAGTAGGCTACTCGAATGTCAGTTATCTATTATGTCTGTGTCGCAATCAACAAATCAAAGCGAAACCGGTCAAGACGAACATGCAGACCAGGATGCCAGCGCTCGGTCACGAAACCCAAACCTGACTCTTGATCACGAAGGAATTCGATACGAGAGGTCTCAGCAATTAAGAAGAAATCGCTCAGCTGCTAAAGGAGTTGTTACTAAAAAGATTAAAGAATTGACCGAACTGACAACAAGTGTAATAGACGCCAGCGAAGCTCGAATAAAGGCTCAAGAATTCAAGGACGTAGCAGTGAAATTTTACCTCGCTAACGCCGATTATCATGTAACGATCATGGACGAGTATGATTTACAAGACTCCGAAGAATATTTTCATAACGAAACTCAAAGAATCGAAGCTTTTAAGCGAACACTAGCGGACTGGATTCATAGTTTGTCAAACCCAAACCCGTCGCCATTGGAGTGTGAAATCAATCCAAACGACTCAGTAAGCAATGTTGGCTCCAAAACTCGGTCACGTCGGAGTACCAAAGGCTCGGTATCAAGTTCTCGACGATCCCGGGTTAGCTCGTCGGCGCAAATTTCAAAGACGGCAGCAGCAGCAAAAAAGGCTATGTTAACAGTACGAGCGGCCGCGTTAAACAAATACAAAGCTCTCGAAGAAGAAGAACCAATTATAGAAACCAATTATAATACTATAACCAACTATAACCAATTATAGAAAAGACAGTCGTCTCCATTGTGATTCGACAATGTACATCACCACATTCACCAGAACAAAGCACTATTGCAAGCTTTTAAAATTTTTCCTTGTCAGTAACGTAAACATGGGAGGGGTCAATATATTTCTCACTTTGACCCGTGGTCATTGAGGTGTTAGGGAGTATATATCGCAAGGCATAGCGAAGGAAGTAAATATAATAATAAGCCAGCAGCCACAATTACAATCATTAAGTACTATTTAAAGCACGCGTAGGAGTGTTTTATCACATACTGATAAACACGACGCGTAGCGGAGTGTTTTATATGTGATAAAACATAACCTGAAGTTCAGGCCCTAATCACAGAATAGGGCCTGACACAAAACCTATCTAAAGTGTGAGATTCCCGTCCACCTGGTGGACAGGAAATCTGATTGGTTGATCAGCATCATGAAGGATTTTGATTGGTTGCAAGTTTACATAAACAACAGTTTTAAAAATAGCGCGGTCAAGGCGACAATTTATATAAAGGTCAAACGCACGTACAAATTCCATTATCGATTTCTTCGAATTTCTTTTTCTTTTATGCTTTATGGCAGAAAATAAATCAAACAAACAGTATTTTGAAAGGGCTTTATCAAAATCTTGGACGAATTTTGGACACACGACGCCGAAAGAACAGTCAAACTAGTCATGTATTCGAAAGCCAACCTCGTTCCCAGGCTCTTTGCTCTTGGGAAACAAAGACCCTGGTCGGGGCTGATGACGTCACACCCAGAATCTGGGGGTAAACGTATAATTTGACTATGGGTCGGGAGGTAGAGGAGCGTGTTTGTTGCGTTTGGAAAATTGCAACTTTATGTGTTATAATTTCGGGTGATAAAAATGTAATTTGCAACAAGAGATTGTGAAGGGAACGTTCTACTTGTTCGTACCGATCATGACAAAGACTTCCTGCTGTACTGAATGTCATCAACAATAAGTGTTGCGTTACATTTCAAGCGAGAAGCTGGATCATATTTCACTTGCAAGCAAAACACTCCACACGCGCCTGGCTTGCGAAGTTTAGCACGTATCGCCGTAGAAACTACATATCTTCTACACAGACTGATCGATCAAACGGTATTAAACGAACGATATGGTTCTTTATAGTTGAAGTGTATCCTGTCCGATATTCAAAACAAAAGATTTATTTTATAACGGGATCCTCTGATTTCCCAAACATCGCCAACATGTGTAAACAATAGTGCTATTTTGACTATAAAAGCGCAGGATTAAAAACCGTTATGGACTGGCTATAAAATTCATTTCATTTACATTGCTGAAACTCGACGATCAAGAAAGATAATGTCGAAGTGTAGCTAGCTATCTGTTATCACACAAACGCCAAGACTCCTCCGTGCGTTTCCGTGCGTGCGGTACAACTTGAATATCTACGACGATATATGCACCAGACACTGGTACTGTACTTTATATAAATTATTTCATATTTTGTGTATACAGTAATTTGCAACATGTATAATATTAGACCTTTCATTGACACTGGCATTGTCCATTGAGGGCTTTATTGAAGAATAATCCAGCTTCCTTAGACTTGTATAATGGTTAATGCCGCTGTGAGTTATCAATATTTAAATCAACTTTAATCTTTATCGTATTCCGTAACCAATATTTTAGTTTTAGTAACCAATAAGTTTAGTCTGTTTTACCAAACAATACTGGAGGCAAACAACCTATCTATCCATGGAAACTTTAAAAGGTTTGTTACAGTAAAACTCATTAATATAAGCGAGACTTCATGTGCATATACAGTTTATGAATTATGTATATCCTGATAAAACGTAAGACACTTTTATATACCAGATGTAATAAAAAATACTTTGCTAAACCTTTTCTGCTGTCATTCCTTTGCATGTAAGGGGAGAGGGTAAATGGCGATAGAATTTATAGGAGATGCTGTGCAATATTTTGGCTTCAACAAACAGGTACTCGTGCAGACAAAAAAGGAAATTCATGCAGTTGTGAATTGTCGTATGTCAGCTGTGCACTGTCGATTTCAAACAATTTTGTGCGTTATATTTTGTCTTCCTGGTGTTTAACATAAACGATGATACCATTTAAAAAGAAATCTAGAGCAATATGTCTATAAACAGTTTTAGAATCAATAAAATGGACATTCAATGTGTATTTGGCTTGTGTCCAAATGTGCCACGTTTAAGACCAGCAAGGCGCTAATCCTACGACCTATAAACAGTTGCTTTTAAGACATCTTTTTAAAAAAATTTATACCGTGTCCATATCAGAACAATTCATTGGCATATTATAAGCATATTATAAATATCAGAGCCAGAACAGAAACGTACGCGTGAAATGAAACTACGCCCGAACCGGCGAACTCCGAGAAAAAATAAAAATATTTCAAAGCGTACAGTCATACGTTCTCGTTGCTTGATTTCCTGAATTTTCTGTTGCTATAAGAATCTGCATTTTAGCATGTTTGTATAATTTAAAAGCAAACAGAAACCAATTTAGCTAGTAGTTTGAGGTATATATGATTCTCGAAGATGAATTAGATGATTGTACAGAACGGCCACTCCTTGCAATCGAAGTGCGAAGTGCGGAAGTGGAAACATGTAATATGAGACTTTTCTATCCCCCCCTTCGGCTGTCAAATTTCTATGTGTGACGTCATCAGCCCCGACCAGCATCTTTGCTTCCCAAGAGCAAAGAGCCTGGGAACGAGGTTGTTCGAAAGCTTGTTGTTGACAGCCAAGATGTTTTGCCAACTGGCTTCGCCGGCAAAAGTCTTATTTTTAATATCAGGTCCTACCAGCGTTGTTTTCTGAGCTACATCGCCTTCTTCGTGGTACGATTGAGAATTTCATTGTTGCTGTTGTTAGCCCGTTTTAATAAAGTATATCCCTAATATCCGCGTCCAGCAAGTTGAGACCTTGAGGAAGCTTGGCAGTCTAGCCGTGCACAGAACTGACTAATTAAATCTTTGTCTGAATCTTATTTATATAAAAGTACCTTGAATTTTTAAGTTTAATTATAAAGCAAAATGCACACTCTGCGGACATGTTCATGAGAATATAATTTTTTTGTGTAACGAAATCTATAACACTTGTCAATCATATTGCATGTTGTGTCTAAAAATAACATGTGGGCGTCCCACGGTCTAGACAGGTTTTGTGTCGGGCCCTATTTCAAATTAGGGCCTGAACTTCAGGTTAGATAAAACACGACTACAAGTGCTTTAAATGGCTTAAAAAACGACTCATCCTATACGAGTTCATTGGCGAAGTAATTTTAAAAATAAACTTTGTCTGAACTGAGAAAATCAAAGCTAAAGTTTATGTAAATTAACATGATTTTATATCACATATAAAGGTACGACACGCTTATGATTTTTCTTTGTGTTTTGCTCCTGAATTATTAATGAGTTTTTTAAGAATATTTATAACATGCACATAGAAGAAATAAAACTACGTTTAAAACGTTTGGTTCTGCATTTTAGATTTTTGGTAATGTGTAACACTCATTGTTTTGTAGAAGATAATCGTGTTCATTAGAAAAAATTGCGTTGTAGATTCGTAAAAGGTTCCTCAGGTCAATATCAATAATAGTAAGCCAACACAATTTTACATTAACAATATTTTAATTTCAAAAGTCGATCCAATATATTTAGTACTTATTTCGCCCGGAAATCTGACCCGCACATTATAGATAATATGCAATAAAATAAAATAAAATACCGAAATGTGTTTCGAAAACCGAGGCGCTAGCCGTGTTTTCTCACATACTTTGAGGCGTTCTATATACGCCGGTAATAAACCTCTTTCGAGTTTATGGGACTTGTATTTCGCGATATTTGAGTTTATAATTCAAGGGGATTTATTTCCGTGCATGAAGACAACGATACGGTGCTGGTCTCCTTTGTGTTGTGCTCATAAATTATTTGGGAATTTATTACGTACCATGAATGCGCAAGATTACTATTGTAACTTTAGATATTCAATTACGGTAATTCTTACCGTATAACAAGTTTATTCCTTGCGACACTTCGAAGAGCGACGAATGCATCATTGAACTTGATCACTTGACTAAACGTGACTAAACCAATATTGCACACCGTATATATGCGTATTTCCGTGTATTGTTATGTTGCATGAACCAATCGTTGTGCGCCACGCTTCACTACAACTCGGCATTTGTCGAAACCTGGACTAGGCTACCATTCGGGGAGTTATTCCCGGAAGCCGGCTGGAAAACGAGCCTAAACCTGGACCGGACTCGAAGAAAATCCGGACTCGGTAAAAAACCCGGACCCGGATTGAAAAAAAAACCTCTTTGACTTTGAGAGACCCCTGACTTGACGTTTGAAAATCCGGACTTGAAATACATTTTTAGAGACGTGTATCGAATGCGATAGTTATTCGAAATAACACAATACCCAGATAACTAAGTGCATGACTTTATTCATCTGTATAAGTGTAGCTGTTGTTGTCGGGGTTGTTGCTGTTATTAGAGAGGTTAAGGTAATTCCGCAGTTTTGCATTGCGCACTTTTACTGCGCACATCTTATAACATATAGTTTCTTCCGTTATACGTACCGTTTAAAAAGAAGTATCATTTTATGACAATTTTATGTTACTTCAAAACGTCTTCGGTTACATTCGTGCAAAGAATTACGTTAGAATCAATATTTTCAAAAAAAGGCATAAAAAAGTGTAGCTGGGGTTCTGTGTCTGTCGTATATTTATTTACTTGTATTTCACGTTTTAATGCCACAATTCCCTAAAAAGATTGGTGACCCCCGTTTTTTAACTGGTAATTTATTTCTTTAATGCATTTTACATTTCATATCCGAAATTAAAACAAAAATCATTTCTGGATCATGAAAAAAAATGCTTTATCAATG